GAAAACGGAGTGGATTTGCTGACATGTGTTCTCTCCATTGATAGTGTCTTACTTTTATAATATGAAATAAAGGGAGTAACATTTTTACGAAGCTAAAAAAATTGTGTGTACAAAGACAGGGAGGGGATCTATCCAATAATGATGATTTCCTGTTAGGACTTGCCAATTAATTATCTATTATATGGTTAAGCACTTTAGTGTAGGCATTTAAACTTCCAACAAACACTAGCTTTGCGGTACCAGGTACATGCCTTTATTCATGGTGATTACCACATCCTGAGCAATGAATAGATGGTTTTTACATGCTAGCACGTTAGAGCAAGCTTACACAGCAACATAAAGAAATGCAACGAACGTTTCAATGGTTCGGCCATTCCAATAGTCGCATATTATTGTTGGTTACTAATTTTACCTCTCCACTTTAATTTAGAATACTAAAATGATTTATGTAGCCAACTATAAATAGTAGGCAAGGAAATATTCTTGTCTATGGTCAAAACATATAAATAGGTTTCTATGATTTACCATATCGATATAAAATGCCTAAAATTTATATGTACTGCGATGTAATTTCTTTATGGATCAATGCCGTTCAATATTCAGCTTAAGTTAGTCCTCCTGAAGTTTAAATCCTAGCTTCGTCACTGGTGATGGTACTGTGTGTACTTTCATCAAGGCCAAATGCCAAAAAGTCCTATATAATCTATCTATTATATACTAAAAGTCTATTAAACTTTCTACCAACGCTCTCATGCTACTATATGGTGCTCTAAAAACGCTCTCAAGCTGCCACATGGCGTTTTAATAAAATAGAGAAAATCTTAAAAATTTTGAGAAAAAGAAAAAAAGAATCTAGCCCTCGACTTTCATTAAAGTTTGTGGACCCATTAGTTTACACCGTTAGATTAGATCCATTATAAATAGTAATCTATCCCTCCTAATTTACCATGTAATACTTACCCAAAAAATATTGGCTGGAATAAGCCAAGAAGGCATACGCACTTACAGAGTTAACAACCACAAACGAGAAAAGAGGAAATGATATACAGCAAAAAAGAAAAAAAAACATACTGCATATATATTACTTCACTTCCTCTGTTTTTTTTATAACGGCTAATGTCAAATATTTAGTGAAACTATCGAAAGAAAACAAAGATTTTAAACTGATTTCCAATTATACTTCCTATGGACTTCTTTTTATTTTCTTTATGATGATCAACGTCAAATATTTAGTGAAGGTGGTAGTAAGAAAAATATATTACTTCATAAAAGATGCACACCCAAAAATAGATCGATAATATAATAGAAAATATCAAATAAACCTATCATTTCACACTACAATTGTTGAGTATAGATAAATTTTATTTGCATCAATGGGCCTACATTGATAGTTCAAGATGAAATAATGAGTAACTAAAATATTACTTGGGACATATTGTCAGAAACACAAATAAAAAAAGTATTGTTTAAAAATCACATTTTTTCTCACAAAACACAGTCAGGATTTTAGCCGTTAATGACTCAATCTACGCTTTTGATTTGTACATATTTTTTTAAGTACATAAGTAATAAATTTAAGATTGAGTTCTAAAGTGCTTATCAAATTGGCTCTCCCTCATTTATCTTGAGCATGTTCCGAACTATTAAACTGTGCATGTTTTGCAAATACTTTTTATACTTTTTTTAAAAAAAATCTATTTCATGTTTGTAATATTAAATACTTAATTAATCTTACGTTGATGACCTACATCGTTTTTCGTGCCCTGTATAAGCTCAACCAATGAGATCGAATGTAGCCTAAGTAGGAGATAAATTAGATTATTTACTATAAAATTTAAAATTAAAGAATCAAGTGAACTACATTATTAAAAAATCATTACTTTTTTTATGAAAAAAACAAATAAGTTTTTTTTGTCTCCTCGCTATTTCTTAGCTATTAAACTAAAACAGAAACAAACAATAATATTGGATTTTTCTAGAAACACAGCACGCGCATACCCTACCCCTTGAGTATCACCAAAAGGCTGATTCGACACATTTTGAGATACGATGTTACCACGGGCGTCTCGATGTCGATGGGTACGTCACCTACCACTGAAACATTTTGAGATACGATGTCACCATAAGCATATCGCTGTCGATGGGTACGTCACCTACCACTGAAAGAATAATTAGTTGTAAATATGAGCACCCGTATCAAGTATAGGACTTGAACCAGGTGGGCAAGTTCCACCACAAGAAACCTAACCAATTGATCCGCTCACTTTACAATAACGTTGGATATTAAAACAACCATAATTTTTAAGTTACATTGTTGGAATACTTCTATGCCTTTTAAACCGGTGAACTATTAGTTATAGCTGTTAGATCAATCTTATATATAAGTTAAGCATGTATTCATGGTACATGACATCTCCAAAATATTACTGCACAATTGTATTTTATCATTATCATATTTAAGTTAGGTTGCATGGAGCCTCTCACCCACCCTACATGAAATGTTCATAGATGGGTCGCCTCACAAACTACATCAATCGTATTAGGCTATATAAACCCATATATTTAGTGGAGACTCATGTCCCACTCAATTCATCCTTTAATGAACTATTACAATAGATATGCAATTAAAAAAAACACCTTACTTTACTTTCATTGACACGTTTTCTAAAATAAAAAGTCTACCTTATTTTCAAATTGTAAAGAAGACTATAAATAATTGCTTATAGATATTACTTAAGTATGATATAATATAAAACTAATTTAGAAACTTATTAAGCAATTAATGCCAATGAAAAAAATTTACGAACAAATCGCGACAGAAGTTCTTTGTTTAATATTTTGCTCTTATACTTATCTCAAATTTAGTATACGATGCATGCCGGCGCGAATACGCGGGCTACCTTCTTCCTAGTTTATTAATAATGAATATAAGTCAGTCTGGCCTCCTTGAACTGTCAAAAGAATAGTGTGTAGTTTACTATATTAATTATCATAACCATATTTCTCTAGCAATCTGCAGTTGTCTGTACCAAATGCTAAATATAAATGCAACCTTTTACTGTCTTTGCCTCTGGATGGATCATACGTCCTTTGAGTAGTACCGTGAATTAGTGTTATGTATATGTTTATTTCTTGCACTGATCCCTAATCTCAGTTACGAACCGACACTGATGCTATTTTCTATGGTAGTGACAGAATCCTATCAGACAGTGGTAGTTATTACTTTGTACGTATCAAACTAGTACCAAAACCATATTAATTTATCAACCTATACCCTTCCGGCACCAACTTTGTTCGTAGCACGTAGGCTGTTTGTTGTGGGTGGTTGGGAAAAAACCTCCTCCGCACAGAAAACGGCGCGGTCTATTAGCGCGTGATTAATTATGTATTTGCTATTTTTTTTAAAATGGATCATTATGATTTTTTTAAGCAACCTTCGTATAGAAACTTGTTAAAAAAGTACACCGTTTAGCAGTTTGAAAAATATACACACGGAATACGAGGGAGAGAGGTTGGGAACTAGGAGTAAAGAACACAAACCTTAGACATAATTCTATGGCTTTGTATCGATCTTTTCATAGACCTGCACCCATAAATATTGTGCAAGATATATATAAAATGAATTTGCAGGAACTCCATCAAGAAAACCTCAGGTCTCCGTTCAATAAAATTCCTTGCAGTCATGGTCATCCTCTCCTACACCAGTACCGGTCATCCAACACATTCGGTTTTGCATTGGGAGGCATTGGGAATCCTAGAGATACTAAGCAGTATTTGTTGGTTTAGCTTGCGGAGGCTATAACAAGGTTGATTAGGGTAGCACTAGCTAGCTGCTGCATTGTTTACAACATAGCTAGACAGAGCAAGCTAGCCAACAACTACTAGAAAATGGATTTTTGGCTACTGTTCCACGTTTTCTCGTGATGGCTAGGAAATTGCTTTCACCAAAAATGAAACTTTGTAACAGCTAGGATCGATCCTTCATGGAAACTGCTCTTTTCGTACAAGGAAGGATAATCCAGTCAACAAAAATGAAATGTAACACGAAAGGTATTTGCTATAAATTTTTTGACATATACTTATAGATAAAGCATTTTCGTAGACGTGGAGGGTTTTTTTCCCCAGACGGATATGACCCTCGGAGCTAAATGGCCGCCTACGAAAATATAAACCAGGGAGCTTGTTGTCCGCCTGTAAAAATACTTTTTTCTAGGCGGACCAATCAAGTCCTCGTAAGTGGTCCGTCTGAAAAAAATATGATTTTTGCAAGCAGAATTTTACGTGGTCTGCCTGCAAAAATAATGCCAACAAAAAAATATCTAAGTCCTCGTTCTTACCATCTCCTCCACCATCCTTATCCTTATCTCCTCCACTCATTTCCTTCTCCTCCTCTCTCTCTCTACCAGCAGAGCTGCTCCGCGCTCTAGCCTCCACCTTTCTCCACCACCGCCTCCCCTCTTCGCCGCGAGTGCCGCCGCCCCACCTCGCCGCCACGGCCACAGCCTCCCCTTCTCGCCGCGTCGCGGGCCCTCCCTCCTCGCCGCCTCCTCCTTCTCCACCACCGCCTCCGCTGTCTCTGCCACCGCCTCTGCAGCCGGGCTCCCCTCCTCGACGCTTCCACCGCGCCACCTCGCTCCTCCGCCACCGGCCGTGATGCGCGATGACGACGACGATGATGGCGACGCCTATGGATCTGCCATTGGCTTGCCCCGGGCGCGTGGATCCGCCGCTGGCTGGTCTCGGGGAGGGGAGGGGAGCTGGTGGCGACGAGGAGGAGAGGCGGCGGCTCACCTCCTCGCTCTCCCGGCGTCGCACCGATGACGATGGCGACGACGGCGCCGCGTGTGGTAAGCCCGGACAGAGGAAGAGAGGCAGCGACGCACGACGACGGCCTCAACGATGTCGCCGCCAGCTGTTGGGGAGGCCAGCGGACGGAGGAGGAGAGCCATCGGCCAGAGGGGAGGCCGGCGGCGGTGCCTTTTTTTTTTATTTGCTGTGATGTTTTTCGCAGGCGGGTGAATCTACCATCAGGCAGGCCATTGGGCCGCCTGCAAAAATCATTTATTTTCGCAGGCCTTTGCTTCTAGACGGTTCGTTCCCCCATGCATCTTTCCCACTGAGTTACTTGTCTCTTTTGTTTACATGAGTTTTACGCGCAAATTGCAGTCTAATTTTTTTTTAAGAATTATACAGTACAATGTAGACATTCACAACACATGCACACTCACCCCTATAAACATACTAGTTATATTGTAATTACTTACTAGTTACATTGTAGTTACATTCGTACTATTAAAGTAAATAAAATCTTTGTGTGTGTGTCTATATATATAGTCCCCACCAACCGAGCAAGCTAACCATGTTGGGTACGTAATAAAATATTATAGTTACAATGTAGTTATAGTATAATTACAATATAGTTATACTATTATATTTGTAACTACAACATAAGTAAACAAATTCTAATTATAAGCCTGTTATGAATTTTTTGGCAGCCCAGTATTGTGGGTTGGTCCATCAGATTGAGGCCCATTAGATAGTTACCGTGGCAGTTACTAGTGAGCAGATCTTATCCAAGGGTTAAAAAAAAACGTGATATATGGACTCCAAAAATCTGTCGATAGACAGCTATGTAGTCCTTTCCAACCAGCTCTTATGTAGTTTTCATCAAATCATATCTCTCAATCCCCCTCCCACTCCTCCACTATATCTCATTCATTAGGGCCATCATGTTTTTTTTATCCGTAATCTCTTAAAAATTTTAAAAATATCTTATATTTATGGACAGAGTGAGTACACAACACGAAATATCATGACAATGAATAGGTGTGAGCGTGACTACATTGGTGCATATATATACCGATAGTGTAGTCGATTGCAGTGCCAAATACCAACATCTGATACACGTCTAGCATATCAAAGCCTTATACCAGTATATATACCACCAGTCCACCACATCGTACTGCAGGTGAGTTCCAGCGTTCTGTCTAGCTAGGTTGAACAAATTAAAATATTGAGACAATACTTCTAATGTTACAGTACCAATATTTTTTTCTTCCAATTCAATAGAAAACAGGTAGCTCTGCTGTCCCAGAAAACTTGAATATGCCACCCAGTTTGCCACCATTTGGTCAGACTTGTCTGAATTACTGAATAGAAAATGGTAGCTATGCTTTACATCATGTGCGTGTGTGTTATATATGCAAGGTTATATTATTCTCATTGGTTTGGTAGGCATCAGGAACATCTGCTCGCCATGCAGGAAGCAGAAATGTAATTTAGCAGAGGATTATTGCGAGCTGTAGTGATGCAAAGGACAGAGCTGGAATGGCCTTAGTAGCACTCTTCAAAATGTGCCACCTAGAAAGAAATAGGGCATATCGACTGCTCCATCTGGATCAGTATCATCGCTATGAGGCAGGAGTGGAAGCCCGAGATCCCTATGTAAGAATATGAAGAAAGATGACGATCTGCTAAAACCTAGAGACGCGAGCGTGATCAAACTAGTTGTTCTAGCCAGCTGAGGCTATCAGCTTCTAATCATGACCATGAATTAACATCAAGGCATGTATTAAACTTAATTGGAATCGATATCGTAATTCTTACTTTTGCCTTATTTCCAGTTCCATTTTTTTTATTTTGCAGGTATGTGTTAAACTTTTAAAGCTTTTTTTATATTCACTTAAGCTTTTTTTATATTCACTTAAGCTTTTTTTATTTTCTGAAATTTGTGACGCAAAGGACCTGTAATTGACGGTTATATATGACCACTCTTATACATTTTCATTTGAAAAATGGCTTTCTCACGTGAAACTGTCTGCGAGTACTTTGACATGCAAAAATTCCCATTTCAAATACCACAATGTTATATATGTGGGAGAACCATTAACCATCTCCGGCTTTGAATTATCCCAACGCGTACTGAGGCATATATATATATATATATATATATATATATATATATATATATTACACACACACACTAATTAATGTTACTGGACTCGGTCTGAAAAGTGTATTTACTTCATTTTGTTGATCAAACAACAGAAGCAACCGCGTCATGCATGGAACATATGGCAAATTACTATGATAGCAGCAATGGTTTTTTTAATACTATCCCAAATATTGTCGCACCAAGCCAAATACATTACTAAAAACTAATTTTGTAGACTGATGATTACCAATTTATACAAGTCTTTAATAAACCACCTGTGACCTAGGCCTGTAAAAATTAATCAACAATTTCCTTATGCATTTAGAAGGAACCGCATGTGACAATCACATTTTCACAGACATCTCTCTTAACGAAATACCTGTCAAAATGAATTCTAGTGTTAGTTTGTTTCTGATAATCACAAGTCATGCGAGAAATGTATGCAAGCAGCTATATAGGATTTGGACCATAATATGTTTACTCCATGCGTGGTCTCCTTGACATCTTATCTATGAAATACTTCATTACTTTGCCATGTATGCTATTCTTTTGACTTCACCTCTACATACATATTTGGCGTTCTAAATAACATCAAATAAAAATGTCATTAACTACAAATTTCATATTTAGCGCTATAAATCAGTGCCTCCTCTCTTGCTCTCTATACTTTGCATTGATGCTGTCATATTGAGTAATTTGGTGATCTATTTGTGCATGCTTATATCTTGTTGATCACCTTCTAGCTCTAGTTTATAAGTAGTGTGCAAAGTACTCTATCTATAAGTTTTATTTTCTCTTTCCATAGGTTTTATTTTTTCTGTACAGGGCCGGATTGTCCTATCATTATTAGAGTGTCAAACAGGGTTTACGATTCTGATAGGCCCTTCTGTTTTGGGCACTAGCGGAATTCGGAATTTCACGGAATCCGATGGAAAACCGGTAAATTCCGAATAAATTTTATAAATTAAAATTTGAATACAAATTTCTGTAGAACGAGCAGTTCTACTCTCCAAGGGCCTGTGAGTTAGTCCGTTCGTTATAATTCATTCTAACAATATATCAACTATTGCATCCTGGATGGTTTGGTTTTTTTTGATAACTGAGGTACTTGCATCACCCGTTTTTCATGTACGCATGGCATGTGTGGAGCAGCAAAGGTCTGTTTGCAAATCTAAATTTGTTGCACAGAATTCCATTCGTAGACATTTTGGTGTATAAAAGTTTCTAGACTTCTAGTGAAAAGCGAGAAAACAAGTTTTCCAAAGGCTAATGATTATCCTTGGTCTGTATTTTGGAGGAAGATATGCTAAATATTTGTTATGGAAATGATTCATTTTATAGGATTGCTCGTATGACCAATGTGACACATCTCCTTATAACAATGAACAATTTTTATTTCAACTATCAAACATTCAGGCATATGGAGCATATGATTGTGAACATTGTGGGCATCTCAAGTAAGACGAGCTAGTTATCGTTGCCATTCGTATCAAAGATAATCAGCTCCCACCCAAGGGTTTTCCCTTCAAGACTTTACTAATGGCAAGTCCTTGCAGTGGTTTTATTTCATCTTTTGTCTTAGCTTAAAGTTGCAACAGTGAAGTCTGTACAGTGTAGCTTTCATATGCGGCTCGCAACGTTTAGCCTTCTGCCTTTATAAGGATAAGTGAAAATTTGAGTTTTAAAAAAATTTAGAGATGATTTCAGGTTTTCTTCACTTAGCCTTCAGGTTATAAGGATAAGTAAAAATTCGAATTTTGAAACATAATTTTAGAGTTGATTTCAGGTTTTCTTTGATGTAGTTTGTTTTCCCGCATTTTTTCAAAATCAATAAAGGACACGCATATAAAAGCTTTACATGTAAATTATATTTTGTCATTAATAAGATGTTTCACTTATAATAATTATAAATGAAGAGATGAGACATACATAACTATAAAAAGGCAGTCTGCTTCCGTCTTTGCTGCAGCAAGCAAAAAATATGTAAAGCTCCCAAGACGAGAGGCCATATCATGAACTGTAGTCACCTCAGATTTCTCACCGCCATTTAGGAGTGGGAAGCTTTAGGAATTCTAGTATGTCTTTATTGCAGTATTTGTCTTGGCTCCACATACACCAAGAAAAAAAACAAGTTTGTAAACTCTAGGGTTAGCAACAGCACAGTGCGGATAGGAAATGAACCGCGCCCTCTCACTCTGTTGCATGTTCACCCGGCTCAGACCCCTGAGTGAAGAACGGGGTTCAACCAGTCCCTAGCTTTTGCCCTTCTAGGACTCCGTAACCCGACCAAGTGCTGTTGGTGATATGCCCTAGAGGCAATCATAGAGATGATTGTATCACATACTATGTTTACATATTTATCCGAGATTGTTTGCTTGAAATAGATAACTCATTATTGGTTAACGAATATGTGATTCTTTCATGAGACTCTTTATGTTGTACGTTACTATTTTTAAAGGATCCCTGATCAAATATCATATGTGGAACAAATATGTTTAAATGATCAGCACATGTATTAATTGATGATCATGTCTCATGGATTATAGTATCGAGATACAAAATTAATAATGTGGACACATGTTGGGGAACATGTTGTTGGATAGACCCAACATGAGACATTGCAAGAGCTATATGCATGTGTTGTGTCATCAGTGATCACATTTAGCGTTGGTGTTGAATCCTTAGACCTGAGATTATCATGGTTCCCAACATGATAAACGCTACTGCGTAATTGGGTAGTTATAAAAGTAGTTTTCGGGTATGCTAGAAACATGTAGTGGGATATGAATAATGATGATGGGATTTGTCCCTCCTATGGAGAGATATCTCTAGGCCCTATGATGTTATAGATTATAGAAGTGCATGGCCATGCCAAAGGTGATTGAGGAGTCAATCACAAGTTATAAATCTATCACAAGTTCGAGTGAATGATTGAGCTATTAGAGGATAGCACATATCTAGCCTTGAGTTTAATCGATATCGTGAGGCAAAGGGGTTCATACAAGTATACACTAGAGGTTCTGCTAGGGGCTGCTGTTGACACGTGGAACGAAAAGGTGTTTTCGGGTTACAGCCGAGTGTGCATGAACCTACAGGGTCACACGCTTAACGGGCCGGAATAAGGGGATTGGATGGAGATCCAATATGAGCTTAATTCAGATAGGGATCCGAATAGGAGTCCTACGGGCCTTGGAGGCCCGAGTCATGGATCCTATATATTCGTGAGGGGTGTGACAGGCAGAGGTATTGTATCACGTGAGAAACCCTAGCCGCCACTCTCCTTCCCGAGCAAAACCCTAGCCGCACGCGGGTGCTAGCATTTCTGCGCGTAGTGTTCTGTCCCTATATGTGTGGATACCGGTAGAGGCGCTGCTGCTTTGCGGTGCTGATCAGCGTGTGTGTACGACATGGAGAACGCACGAGGAGGAGAAGGTCGAGCTGGTGCGATCGACTACTTCCTCTACATCGACGCGCGCTACATCGCGAGGGTTCCTTCGACTTCTTAGCACTTTCTTCCGCTGCTCAGCTTGTCGACTGGTAATGATCTATGATCTAATGCTTGCATGGTTCCTGATTTACGCGATAGAAAACTTTGATTTATGCTGTCGTAGCCTACGCGTATCCAAACACGTGCGTGTGTTGAGAGATCACCGTAGGGCTGTGGCTAACTTAGGTTGGCTTATGGGGACTAGGATTAGTTTATATATTGATGTGGAATTGCCTCCAGCGAATGAGACTTGTAATTGGAGTATATTTTAAGTGGTAACCATATCCAGTGAACCCATGGGTCTATAACCTTGTCCCCACCTCCGACTCCGGCCCTACAGGGTGAACTGCCCAACACCTGATCGGGGAAATTGCCACTCCTGGTAAAACATGGTCACAAATATCTAATGCAACGTTTGGCTGACAAAATCTTGGATATAATTGAAGAATTTTGTGTTTCCTTCGCCAGAAACCAGTCAAGCTCTTTGAGAAATTCTCAGCCATCTCATCTGCCAGCGAGGACATGCATGCGCAACAAATTCTCTACCATCTCGTTGACAAATCAACCTGTGTGAGACGCCTTCAAATTGGTTCTCTACATTCAACTCCGTGAAGCAGCTAGCATCTTAATTTTTGAGATTGCTGTCGTCGTTGATCACTACCTCCTGAGATACACCTGCCATTTGATAGCAGGAAAATTGCTCGGTTTTGCAATGCACATTGTTAGCTTTCCCATTTGATACTTCAGTGGGTACCACTCTGTTTTGTCACAACTCTATCGAAAATACCGAAATTTGCCCCTCTTTAACCTCTCTTCTTCGCACCCAACCCTTTTCCACGTCCAAACTCCAGCCAGCAACCGCTGCCATGTGGACCGCACCAATGCAGTTGGCTGGCCAATGCTACACCTACTCTACTACCACTTGCATCTAGACTCTGCTCGCCATCCCTAACGTGGCCGAGCTCGAGCTCATTCCAGTCGAAAAATCCATCTTGAGCAATTGTCGACCGAAACATGTGAAACTTTTAGGTCTCCAATTTAAATCATAATTTGAGGTAACCTTGTTCATTTTGTTCAAACAAAACAATCGCTATGAAATAATGCAAAATGACCGTTGTGTAATTCATGTTATACTATGAATGAAAAAATTGAGTGGATGGTCGAGCTGGATGTAGATGCCGCAGCAGAGTGGGTG